TACACTGTGCATCATTTGTACACTCCAATCCTTTCATTATTACTGTTGTCATTTTATTAGTGTTATCATTATCATTACTAGTTTCTTCTTTTCTGTTCTATTAAACTGTTCTTATCTCAACCCATGAGTTTTACTTCTTTTCCCGATTTTCTCCCCCATCCCACTGGGTGGGGGAAAAGTGAGTGAGTGGCAGTGTGGTGCTTAGTTGCTGACTGGGGTTAAACCACGACATAGTCCTATGTAAGAAAGCCTTCATACATATGTAAAATCAGGATTCTGTCTGAGAAGAGTTATGTTTTTATACTTTCCACAACTGCAAAAGTCCTTACCCTGTTCTTAGTGAGGCAGAACTGCCACTGTTATAGTAATTAGGGATGGACTGAAGATTGCATGGTATGGTCCATTTTCTGTAGCACTAATTAGACAAGATCAGCTAATGTTACTGAGTGGTAACGTTCCTTCTGAAGTTCTTGGGTGAAATTCTGTAACAGGTTTATTTTTATGACATCTTTCAGACTGACATTTGTGTTCTTTATATATGCACACGTAGATATGTACATACACTCACACATATGTGGTTCCCAAGGACTGTTTGCATAGTTAAGAAAAGCATGTTCATGACCCTAAAGTAGTTGTATTTCTATCTTTTGCATTATTCAAATACTCTGAAAAACTGATTAAATTCAAGTATTAAAAATATTTCTTTTGTTAATGTGGAAAGTATCCCATGGTTTAAGGTATTCTGAAGAATCAAGAGTAGTTTTCTGCCAGACAAACCTTTTCAGATCCTTATGCAAATGACTTAGTAAAAACTGGGCACCAAAACAAGGTGAGTTTGAGGAGGTGCACCTCGGTCTATCTGACTCTCCTCTCTCCATTTATTAAACAGGTATAATAGTACTTCCCTACCTCAGAGAAGTGTTCTGGATACAATATAAAGATTGTGCAGTAACAGGATAGTGTAAAAATTAGGACCCCGCAAGAACACTGAAAACAGGTCATAGTAAAAATTTCCGAAATTTCCAAAAATCTACAGCCAGACATTTCTGTGGTAATCTCTTCATGGTTTTGTTTCTTTCCATGAAAAACAAGGAGAGGTGACCTAGTCTATGCACAGCATTTTCACACTCCTTTTTAAACATGCAGGATGTATCTGCCTTGAGGGTGATAGGACATGGGATTCATCTCATTACCAATGCCAAGTGCAATCAGTAGACAACTTGCTGCTTTAATTTCTGAGGACTTATTCTTATAGTTATGGTTGTAGTTAAGCTTATCATGTGATCATTTAGAAAAAAAGGTGAATAGTTGTTTTTCCTCTAGTATATCTACCCATTGGCAATGACTAGTTAGGATTAAAAGCTCCATCTAGCCCAAGGCTATAATGAATATTCAGGAAAAATGATTCTGTACTCCTGCTTAGGGAAGTAAAAAGAAACCCCTGTAACATTCAAATCTCCTGTGCCTTTGGAATAAACAAGCAATATTTGATTAAGAACAGGAAGACAGAAGACACACTGATGTACATCTCATACCAAAAGAGACTTTATATGGTATTAAATTACGAACAGATTCCTGTAGTTAGAGTGCATGAATCAATATTATGTTTTAGCTGATAATAATTTTACCAAGCTTTTATTTAGATGATGTTTGTTTAAAAAAAAATAAAATACAGCAGATAAATGAAGTGTGCTACCAATGGATGTTACAGTCCATTGAAGCATTTGTTCGTTCTTCTGGATTGACACACAGAGCAAAATTATGCTACACGTTCTGTAACAATCGCACTGTATCATCATTAATGAGAGAACCAACAAACCTAGTTAGGTGTAATAGAAGAAAATAATTTATATCAACATGGTAGGCTTTGAACCAAAAGCGTTAAGATCTTGTACTACATTAAGCAGAATAATATTTTAGTTAGTTCATATTGTTGATTTTGTGAATGTGAATGCCCAGTTGTTTTTACAGCTAATAACATTTTACATATCAAGCCATTTAGAAAATATTTAACTATGCAGGCTTCATCAACCACTTTATCAATGATAAAAGCTGCAGGCACTTTCATAAAGTTGGACTGGAGTAAAAAAAGATATTTATGTTGTGTTAGCAGTGACAGGTGTTTTTTGTAACGTGATTTATGGGCCTCAACATTCATTCTTTTACAAGTTACGTGCTCGTCCTTGAATGTTTCATAAATCCAATCTCTGCTAAGAATCAGTAAATGCAATTTGTAAATTGGGGTCAATCTTTCAGAAATCCAAGTATATGGGAGGCCCTTAATCAACAAAATTAATTAGGCAAAATGCAGTCTGTATATAGCCTCTTTAAAACTAGTTTTTGGTACCAGGCTGCTCACCTTGTTAAATTTGCACCTGAGTTTAAAACTTTGCTTTCTCAGAAATCTTAAGTTTTGAACTGCATTTTAAATTGGGATAATTTCTTTAGTCAATGATTGCACTTAGAAATGAATTCTGTATTTCTAATCATTTGACTCTTTCTCAAAAGTTGTGTTCTTGTGTGACTTCTGTGAATTGTTCTCAGTCCAAAGGCAAACTTCTATGGAGAGGCTGTACACCATCCAGTGAACTTCCTCTGGGTTATATAAATGTAGTTCATTCATTTCATATGAAAATTAGCTGTCCAGTGACATGAGTATCTTCTGTTTTCAACCTTCTGATGACTTATGATGCATTTTTCCAAGTCCTTAGTGCAAATATAGTAGGAAACTATGAATTTTATAAATGAACGAATAACTTTTTCTTAGTGATCTAAAGAAGAAAATGTGGTATTACAGATAAAAACAGGTGGGTATATTATTCCTCTTTGAGAATATGTCAGTTGTCTGCAGAGCATAGAAGCTCTGGTATTCTCATGTAGTGACTTCATGGCATAGAAATCCCTCTGGCAGCAGGGAAGCTCAGGCATGTAGTGCGCATGGCCACTGGACACTTGTGATGTCCCTGCAGCGAGGTGAGAGAGGACAGGCTGAGGTGGCTTACTGATGTTGGCCACTGCACCAGAAGGAATCTGAGCAGGAGGGGGCTGGAGGCAGAGCAGAGGGAGGAGGGGGAGGGGGAGGGTGGCAGAGTGAATCAGCTGGATGCTCCAGTACAGTTCCGCTGTAGGACTCGCACTGAAAAGGGAAGCAGCGAGAGCTGTCACACGTGTGTGTTTTGGGGGTGGCACAAGGGTAAACGGTCATTTTTTTAAGGTATCCAGCATTATCTTTATATGATGTTTATTTAATGAGCAAATGAATTAGCTAAAAGATTACAGAGGAAAAAAATCAGCTTTAGAAATACCTGTTTCAATCCAAAATTGTCAAATTTAATGGAAATTCTGATTTTTGTCTTAGGTAGGATGGAAATTGGGTTTATATGAATGAAAGAGAACTCCTAATAAGTTATTCAATGTGGATTAAAATAATTGTATTTTTTTTAAGTCTTAGTGTGTGTTGGAGTAAGAATTTTTATGGCAGCACTATAAGCACGATGAAGTCAGCATAATGAGTTATGTGTTGCCAACATCCTGAACATTATTACAAGGATTTCTAAGGAGAAGAATTAACATAAAGGATATACAATTCATGTCTTCTAGAGGCTCTCTCATTTCTGTATTGGGCCTCAAGGAAATGCAAAACAGAAATGAAAGTCAGAGATGCAACTACTTTCATACTGCAGCATTCATACATATTTCATGGAAGCTGCATGGGCGGGGAGATCACCATTTTTCTTGGAATAGCACAGCTAAGTCTCAGGGTTTTACGGTTCGTGTCAAGCACTGTGTGCTTTCTAGGAACACAGCCTGTGGGGGTTTTTTTGTTTGTATTTAACCACCGGTGTAAGAAGAAAAAACAACAACGGGATATTTCCCATGTGTTCACTAGACTGACAGCCTTGATGTCCACCAGATTGTTTTAAACTAAACATCATTTAGGCTCATCCCATTTTCAGTTACTACATAGCAATGCAGCTTTCTGAGTTTTTACAATATCCAAATGGGAGAAAATTATTCATATATGACAGACTTAATTATCTGAGAGTGTGATAAAAATTTAGTAAATGTAAATAATCGCTGCGGTACCAATTAGCCTACCCACAGGTTATATTTGAACTAAATCTTGTAATAGCAACATTCAGTTTTTAACCAGATCACGCACCATGTTCTACATGCATCAGTATTGCAAATTTTAAGGTATTTGTTGAAGAGCAATATTAATAGCCAACAGAAAAAACCAACAACCCGTGCCCTAAGAATTATATTGAACAATAACCTTTATATGTGCCAGATGCAGAATGTCAGTTCCACTGAGCTGTTCTCAAAGGAAAGAATAGTTGATTATTGTTTACATGAGATGTGTTCCATAAGGGAAGTAAATGCCTTGAAATCAGGAAAAGCCAACATTTGAAGATTTTGATTTCTGGCTTTAACAGAGAAGATTTTGATCTTCCATTTACACTATGGCCATCCCAAGTTATTCTCTGAAGTCAGAGGAGAGTTCAGAAATGCTGAACTGCATTCTGATAGCCCTACAACCTCGACTCATCCTTGTTGTTCTGATCAAGGCATGATCAGCCAATGCTTCAGGTTCATGTTATTTTATAGGATACTGGTTATTTTCAATATACCTTACATAGAGTGAATCATTAAAACTGAAAAGTAATTTTTAAAATAAATGGGTAGAGAAAGCCTTTGTCATCCAAAATGGTATTTTCCCCTCTCTGGGAAGGGAACATTTTGTGATGTCTTTGTCTTCTGGAAAAAAAGAAAAAAGGCAATTTTTCCTTTTTTTTCATGAACTAACCTTTCTGTAATGGATTTGCAGTTACTCGAAGTGTCTGAAATAAGTTAACTAATGAGATAAGGTTCAGTCCTTATATGTAATTTCACAAAATTGCAGTATAGCCCCTTATAGCAAAGTTTTCTACTTCCTTGATATACCTTTTGTTCATATTACTTTTAATTATGTTCTATATTTATCTGACCCATTTGAACAGGATCCAGAGCTGGTACGGAACATCTGTCGCTGGGTTAGACAAGCTGTTCAGATTCCTTTCTTTGCCAAGCTGACCCCAAATGTCACTGATATTGTGAATATTGCGATGGCTGCGCAGGAAGGTAACCGACTCCGGTGGACAAGCTGTGCAGATTTACTAATTTGCTGGATGGGGTTAAGATAGGGGATTTGCTGGAATAATAACAGAAACTAATATGAAAATAGTTTATTTATTTGATGTATTTGGAATAAGCACAGTGATCAAAGGCTTCCTAATTTTGTCCATGTTTCTAGAATATAGCAATATATGAAGAGAACTATATTAGACTGTTAACAATAAATCATATATATTTGTGTGTGTGTTTGTCTGCACACTACTATTTCTATCATATTTATACATTTACCATACCACTGTAAATTGCCCTATTCCTATGTTTAGTAGTGAAAGTGATGTGTGAAAACAGAAATACACCATTTAAAGGTATATATACATATTTTTATTCTTTTTCTTTAGAACTTAATAGTACAACATGGCAGGAAATTAAGTTTGCAAGTAGGTGTATTAATCCATCACTTAGAACCATGGTCATCATTTCTCTGTTGCATTGTTCATTTTGTCTTGCTCCTCACAAGCTTGGAGGAGGTGACCCCTGTGCTGGGGCACGTCCAGGTGTTGTACAACCACTGTAGCAGGTTCTGTCCCACACAGCTGAAGGGCAAAGATCTGCCTGTCAGCTCCAGTGTTTCCAACGTGCTGTCTTACAGCCCTTACAGCTCTTTCAACTGATGCAGCCTGCTCTGAAGCTACTGTTAATTTTATCAGCCCAGGATTGGTCTTAAGGACCCTTCTGCACATCCCCTTACAGTTTGTTGTTTTCTGTCTTCAGCTGTTTATTTGAATTTCTAGTTATTTCACAGTTTCACAGTTTTTCTGTTGTGTTTTTTCCTCTCTTCTTCTTATACATATGATTTAACAAAAAGTGACCTTTTCTTTCACAGGTGGCGCAGATGGTGTTACAGCCACCAACACTGTGTCAGGACTGATGGGACTGAAAGCAGACAGCACACCTTGGCCAGCAGTTGGTAGAGGACTGAGGACCACATATGGTGGCGTGTCAGGTAGGTGTTGCCCTTTTTGATGCGTGGTACTTCCTTGGAGGCTTTCAAAACATCAGGAGGTCCTTGTAGTGGGCTAGAATATCATGTCTGCAGTAGCACTGAGTCCTTAAAGCTCACTGCTGGTCAATGTTTCTAATAGTCATGACAGATGGAACAGATTAAGTGTGAAGGCTCTTGGGTTGCCCTTTCCCTAATGGTAAAGCGCTGCATCAGAATACTGTGATAGGGTCACTGGAGAGGGAAGGAAATCTCTTCTCTCGTGACCCTCGCTTTTCCTCAAATTTTTCATTCTGTCACAATTGTCAGGCCCCACGTTAGACAGAGGCTAATGAAAGGGCATCACAGGGGGAAATACCAACAATCCAAATGCAGTGTATGTTTCATAGCCCGAACTCCAGCCTTCCTCCCTCCTTCCCACTGAGTGCACCTCTTCCAAGGCGGTTATTTCCTCCTCTTCCCGCTGTGGTAAAAATGATAGACTGTGTTAGGCAAATATATGTGTATTTTGGTAGCCTATTCCATGAGATATACAAGAATATCTTGTGTAGGCCATATTTCCAAGTCCTGATTCACAGTTTAATTTTAAAACCAGCAGCAAAACTTTTACACTCCAGTTCAGCGCCTGTGCACACTAATGTATTAATCTATTGACCCTGTGCACTCTGTTGCTGTGACAACATGAACTTGGCCCTGCAAAGACAATTCTGTGAGCTTCTTGACTTTACTGGTATGGAGATTAGTCTCCTTGATGATAGAGGTAGCAGTAAATATACATAACAGAAGTAATAGCATCCTCCTGATTGAGTCAAACACTATTTTATCGGACCCGCCTCCTACCTCACTCCGAAAACATGATCAGAGGAGACCAGACAGGCAAAAAATGCTTTATGTGACTGGTGTTATCCTTAGAGAACCATAAGAAATGTAGCAAAAGATAACTTTTAAGCAAACTTTAATTCAGACAAATGTATTCAGCAGAAAATTGCCTTATTGCCTTAGATAACTACATGGAATTTGGAATTTTTTAGAGAACGCTGAAAAGTAAGGAAGAGATAACAATCAGAAAAAATCATTATGCCTATTGCATGATGATTATTTCACAGTGACAGTCCAATAAGATGTTATATTTTAATATTATGCAAAATGGGAGGAAGAGAGGAACAAGAAGAGAACAGCTACAGCCCATTTCAATTTCTCTAGCCTGCCATGTTGACAGGAAAAGAATAAAGGAGGTCACAATGGGTGCTGTGCATTAAAAATTAATAAAAGAACTATTGCAGTAGTATTTTATATAAGTAACACCATTCACATTTTCTCATTTAAGTTGCAATCTCTGAATATTCCTTCCTACCATAAGTCTGTCTAATAAAATCTATCAAATGGCCGCATTATGAAAAGTGTGTCTCTTATGTCACAAATTTGAAACATGTATGTAGTGTAAATTACAGTGGTACCTGGATGCTCAGCTATAAGGGAGGACGTACCAGCATTTCCATGGTTTATAATTCTGTTATAAGTGGGACCTGAGGAAAAGTTCTTTCTTTATTTTATTTTTATATATATGTGTGTTTATATGTAAGTGTATAAATGTGTTGGGTTTTTTCCTGAAGTTTTACATGTATCAGAGGAGATAGAGAATGTCATTTTAAGATACACCATTACCTATGATGCAAATCTGGTTATTTAAAATTTGGAAAAACCGCTGGAAGTTCTGTCAATTTATTATGTTTTGAAAGAGCATATTGTTACAGACAATCATATAAAGGTTTCTTGCTGATAATTGGCATTGCTAGGTCCCAATCCCACAACTCATGGTGCAAAAGAAAGCCACAGAGCCAATAAAGTCAATAGGCTCTGCAACACATTGCAATACTTTCTGCTCAGCGGTAAGGATATAGCAGTATACAAATTTATGAAAGCAGGAAAGCAATTTTAAATCAAGAGAGCTAGCATACTTACAAGAAGACAAAAAATGGGAGAGCGTGTCGTCTTGTTAGGGGAAGGGGCAGGATGGCCATACTTCTGAGGTCTGTTCCTGGCCGTGCCAGGGCTGAGCCGCGTGGCCTACAGCCAGACACTTGACCTTTCCGTGCTTTATTTCTCCTGTCTGTGAAACGGCAGTAACACCACTTACATGCCTACAGGCTTATTTGGAAGTGCTCTGTGGTCCTGGCATGGAAGTCGCTTCCTAGTGTAAAGTATTGGTTTTCTATTTTGATGTGCTTAAACTTCTTGTTCTATTTTATTACCTGGTAGAGTCAGTAAGTTTTGGTTGTGTTTTGGAATAAGTCCTCTCTAGAGAGAATTAATTTTTGAAGTGAAAATCAGTGCTATTGTAAAAGCAATGAGTCTGGTCCATTTTCCATGTGTTTTACCAAAGCACAGCTGGTTTATCCTGTTCTCTAGTGCACAAACCTAGAGCAGATACAGCGTGTAGCCAAGCTGTATCTCGCTTTCTGGATTTTTTCCAGTTGCACAGATTTTAGTTCTTTTCTGGACTAGAAATGATGCTCGCTTGGCAGAGAAGTGCAGTAAGTGCAGCAGGAACCTCTGTCCCACAGGGTGCTGCGCTCATGGTGCTGCGTGACCATGGGTGGCCCAGGACTGTGGGTGACCCCCAGCCCTGTGGAGGTTGCAGTGCAGAGTCCCCTCAGTCAGGTGGGCTGGTGAGGTCTGAGACGTACCAAGGCTCAAAGCTGGTGACCCTCAGCCTCACCCAGCTGGTGAGGAATTGCTCACAGTGGAGTGTTTCTGGAGTGCCGGATTAAACTGGATTTTAGATCAGCCTGGGCCTGCTTATCTTTTTTCTTATCTTCTTATCTTCTCTTTACACATAATTCACAGGAAACTCTCCCGACCTCCAGTAGCATCGCCTGCTAGTATAGGGGTTGCTCCATCTAAAAGGGTGCTTTTGCTTCAGAGAGTGAAAAGCAGAAGCTGCTGCGCATAGGGTCCACCATCAGCAGCAGGGACACATTCCTCCTTTGTCGTCACATAGAGAAACGCGCGCTGTCCTCTGCACTCTGCCTTTCCATCTGCTCCCCTGCAAGCTGCAGGAGCTCCACGCCTCCGTGGAGGGCCTCAGCGGGCGAGGGGAGGCGGCCAGCAGAAAGCTGGAGGTAAGCCACAGCAGCTCAAAATGCAAAAGTCAGCACTTCGCACCCCGAAGTGAGGCTGCAGGCCAGCCCCTATCTCTGCTTGCTGAAGGGCTGTGCTGAAAGCTCAGGTCTGGCTCCTGCCCGCCCGCCAGCCAGCAGGACCTGAGGGGAGGGAGGCGAGGTGCTTCGTGGGGCCCTGTGGCAGCTGAGGGGGCTGGCGGCCTGGCAGCGCGGCCGGGAAAGCTCTGCGGCTGGGTGGCAGGGACCAGATTACGCTGCAAGGAAGTCGTTCTCTTGAAGGACAGCTGTTCTTCAATGTTTTATAAGTTCACGATGTCCACAGGTTTCTTTATACAGTGCGGGTTGCCTTCTCCGGGTGAATGCAGACTTGCTCCTCAGAGTTTGATAAAGGTTTCCGTCAAAGAGAAAATAATGAAAGTATGTTAATGCCCTGGCCTAGCAGCAGCCTGATATTTTGACTTGCAGTCCTCCCTGTCCTCCACTGTCCAAAAACATGCTTCTACATGGCCATGTACTGAAGAAATGTTTTCCATATATGACTTCCCCTTGGCTTCCTCTTCCCTCCTCTTCTCGTCTGCCTCATGCAGAAGTAGCTATATGCAGGAGGATTGTCACTCATTTTACCAAAAAAGAGAGAACTTGTAGAGGGAGTTTCTTTTTAATTCCTTTTAAATTACTAAATGACAGGTAGTTTCCTATGGTTTGTCTAACATACATAAAATAATAATAAAAAAAGTTTACTAACATCTTGCCAGATCCTGAGATGTTTTGAGAACAGACTTACGTCTCTGTTTTTTTAAAACTTTTTTTTTTTTTAAATCTTTGAAAGAAGGACAGACTTAATGAGATCACTTTAAAACCCCCGTTTAGCTTTGAGTTGTCACAGTTAGTGTTTTCCTCCCACCCTGTGCTTGGGCAGTGACCTTCCTGTTTTGATCTAACTTGATCAGCTGAAAATTGCTAAGCTGTAAGGCATCACTGTTTCCTCCTTCCTACCCTCCTGTTTGTTGGGTGGTTTTGACAGGGAAGGATCCCAGTATCCCAGGTGGATGTTTGACCACTAGACTGTAGGATTAGTCTCTCTCTTTTCTCTACTTCCCTGCAAATATTGAATTATTAATACAAAGTGAAACAGCTCTCACAGGATACACACTCATGCTAGCACAGTCTGCTGACCTGTGCACAAGCCTGACTTGGGAGAGCCAGCTTTAAATCCCAGGTGTGAGCCCAGGTCCCAGCTGGGTCCCCATTCCAAGTTTACCCTCCGACTGTTGAGCATTGTAACATCTCTCTGGTTTTTATTCACCTTCTACCTCTATCCTGGTGCCAAAAAATATTTGCAGGAAAAATGTCACTTTAATTTTGACAAATTTTTGTTTTCTAAAGAAAATTAATTTCTAATTGGTACCATGGAGCCTCAGCTGAGCCCAAGGGCTGTGGTAGCCCTACAGATTTCTGTGGCCCCATTACATGAGAGGACATTGTGCTTAGAGGATCCCAGTCTTCATCCATTTTTTATAAGTTTCCAGGAACTGCCTATTACTCAAAAAGTTGAAATGTCCTAATGAAGCATCCAAAATATGATTAAGGAAATAAGCCCTTATGGTGAAAGAAAAACACTAAAATTAAGGTACGGCTTCCCAAACTGTATAACTATCACATGTGTTTGCAGGATTAGACACGTACTTTGATTTCCATTAAGGAGCTTTTAGAATTGATCCAGCAGTATTTTGGGTTTGAGAATATAGAATACATGTGATTTTAACCCTGAGTTCTTCCTATAAACCTGCAATGCAGAGTATTTGTTTCTTAAAGAGAAGTTAATGCTGTTTTTTATCCTCACAAAGAATAATGACCTCTGGCTCTGAAGATGTTTTAGTC